TGAGATGGGCGGCTAGAGAAATTGGATAAATAAATAAATTCAAGATGTGTAGAATTCTTCCAGCGTTCCAGCCAGCTCATTAACTCCACTCCCAACCTAGCCTTTTGTATAACACCCAGGGATTAAGATGATGAGTGGCCTAAAAAATAACCATCAGTCAATAAAAATAAATACATTTGGAGGCGCCCAGCTTGGGGTGAAAAAAGCCGAGGAAAAATTAGTACTTTAAAAGGGATCATCTGAAAGGCTTATTCTTTGCGAGCCCGAGAGTGTTTTGTACGGTGAGGGCCTGTGACATGCTATTCTCAGAGATAAAAGACATTTTAAGATTATGCTACAACTGGAGATTATCCTGCTTATATTTGTTTTAATTGCTTGGGAGACAACCAAGCAACCATTAGCTATAGGGGATGAAAGCTGGCTACAAGTGCCAGACTGGAAGAAAGGATGAAAATCAGGATTGATGTTCTTGCTGATGTTAAGCTATCTCACCACAGAAAATGCACAAATGAGCAAAGCATAAAAGCCTTGGCCGGAGAAAAGGAGGGTTTTTTGCTGTTGATTAGATACTGTCGTGCTAATCTCAAACGACAGGGAAGAGGTGGAAAGATCTTTTTTATTAGAAAAACCCAAGCTGCCTCACCTGTCATCCTTGGAAATGGCCTCGAGATGGTAGAAAAATACAGGTGTTCTTAAACGTACGACCTCAGTTGAGCCCCAAATTTCTTTTGCTAAGTGAGATAGTTGTGAAGTGAGTTTTGCCCCCATTTTATGACACAGTTATTAAATGAATGACTGCAGTTGTTGAGTTAGTAACACCGTTGTTAAGTGAATCTGGCTTCCCCACGGACTTGGCTTGTCAGAAGGTCTCAAAAGGTGATCGCATGACTTCAGGGACACTGTAACCGTCATAAATATGAGTCGTTTGCCAAGTGTCTGAATTTTGATCAAGGGGGATGTCTGTGGAGATTCTCAATCATCCAGGTCATGGTTGTCCCAAAGGGGCTTTTCCAAGAGGCAACTGGACTTTTTGGTTTTTCTTTGAAGACGTTTCACTTCTCATCCAGAAAGCTTCTTCAGCTCTGACTGGACTGTGGATTTATACTTCTTGCAGACAGCTGGTCATTTGCACTCTTGAAGAGAGTGGTTGAGGCCACCTGGAGGTTTATCTATATAGTCAGGGTCACCTAAGTGGCGCAAATGGGTATGGGGCTTTCTTGGAACTGTTGAAGAGGCCATTATGTCAAAATTGAACAGCCCTTTCTCAGCAGAGGGTGAGGAATATGACATCATCTAACTCCAAATCTACAACACAGTCCTTTCAGCAGTTCCAAGAAGGCTCCACACCCATTTTCACCACTCAGGTGACCCTGACGACACAGATAAACCTCCAGGCGGCCTCAACGACTCTAAAAGAATGCAAATGACCAGCTATCTGTAGGGAATATAAAACCCTTCCATTACCCCACCATCCAGTCAGAGCTGAAGAAGCTTCTTGAATGAGAAGTGAAACGTCTTCAAAGAAAAACCAGAAAGTCCAGTTGCCTCTTGGAAAAAAAAAAAAAAACACCTTTGGAACGACCATGGCGATGCTGCAACTGTCATAAGCGTGAATAACGGTCACAAGTCACTTCTTTGTAACTCGGAACGGTCACCAAACGAAATGTTGTAAGTTGAGGGCAGTCTGCGCTTTTCTGAAAGCGTAAAGGTTGCACGAGGAAGATCTTCGCATCTTTACTAAAAACAAAAATAAAAGCAGGCAGCTTTCCTTAGCTAAGGAGCTGCTATATATTTGTAGCAGAAGACCAGGGGAAGGTAGGGTTTCATAATTCATAGCGTTATGCCAAGCAGCCAGACTTCTTGCCCAAGGTTTAACCTGATACGGATCTCCACGGCTGTTGATCTAACACGATTAGGCAGGTCTCCTTCCATCTGACTGGAGACTTTGAACCTGAAGTGCTACTCATGCAGAAGAGGGGAGGCTTCACCTTGGGCCTCCTAGTTATTCCATGTAAGTGAACCATGCAGGGAGCTCCGCGTTGAAGCCTGTGCAAAGGTCAAGCAAGTAGCAGACTTGTAGACGCTAAGAGATGGAGGAGCTGATCTGGGGAACTTTGGTCTCTCGGACGGTCTGTGGTGCTTTAGCGCATCCTCTCGTGTAGTGGTGCGTGCCGATTAATTTGATTTACGGTCCTCTGGTGTATTGGAAAGATAAGGAAACCTGAAGGTGGAAGCGAGCTGTTGCTTTTAGGTCACCTTTCTCAACTGTGACAGCTTGAAGTTGTGGGGAGCTCAACTCCCATAATTCCCACGCAGAGAAGGAGAGGGGAGACAGGGGTCAAGGGTGCCCCCGTTCCATTGAGAGCCCCCTGATTTGTCTCCCTTGAAATCTGGAAAGAACAAGGTGTGCTGGGTTTCAGATCAACTTTATTAGGAATCTATTTGGAGAAATCTATCCAACCGTTTGAGCCACACTGTCGTATTTTCCATTTTTTGTGCAGGTCAAAACGTGGGTTTTTGTTTTGTCTCCTGGCTTGTTTTAGGACAATTAAATGAATTCATCATTTGCCGGTCAGTTTCTGCCTGTGATATTTCTGGCACTTAGCAGTTATTTCGATTTAGTGGTTCTGTTTTGAGCCAAGTTGGAATTCATTCATTCGATCATACATAAAGAACAGAGTTAAAATTTATTTCTTTTTTTCTTTATCACATTTAGAAGCTCCTCTGGCTTTGCGACTAGGCCTGGGCATGAATGACAGTTTAAAAGGGCCTCCTGTTTAGGAATAGGCACAACTGCTGCCCAAGATAAAATTATAAACACCTTATAGATTTTTGATACCTTTGATACCTATATTTTTAATAAGCCAGGTCTTTTTCAGGATTATCCAAGCAGGATGCAGTTCCCTTCCAGGCCGAGATGCAGCCTCAGAGATCGCTTTGAGTTACTGCTTCTCCTTTCTTTTTTCTTTTTTGATACGATTATCGTGGGTGAAGGGTCTGTCAGTTAATAACATTGGTGGGCTTTTTTCATACACCTTGAATGTAAATAAGTGATTTCTCCGCCTTTCCAAGGAATTATTGGTTTTGCTGTTTACATGCCCACGAGAGGCAAATCCTGTTTGCTTTAACAGGCGTCTGGGTTTGTGCAATGAAGCCCTGCTAAAGTAATTCTGACAGGATGGAAGTGAGTGGAAGAGAGGGGGCTCAGCTGCTTGAAGCGCCCAGCCTTGATGGCTCCTACAATAAGCAATCAAGATACTGTAGGGAAGGAATAGCAACTGTCACTTCAAAGGTCTCCGTCAAGATATGAGTATCTTGCTGTGATTGGTGTGTGTGTTGGGGGGGGGTAGGTAAAGTTTTGTGAATCAAAAACAGTGCTGCGTTTTCTTCTCCTGCAAAGCTGTTCGGACTGTGTTCCATAATTCTGGCTGGAGGTTCTTCATGGAGTAACTTAACAGCGGTGTCTTTTGCCCCCACTCCCACCCCCTTGTAGTACTGATCGTTATCTAATGTGCTTTCCGTAAGGCGACTGCCATGCAGAGTGAGAATGATTGCATTCAATGCGATAATGAAGCGTCCAATTCATGGCCCTCAGGGCCATAAATGTTGCTTCTTTGCTCAAAAAAAAATCACAACACCTGCAGCAGGTAGAAAATGGTAGAGTTTGCTGATTACAAATTCCAAATTCCAAATATGCGACACTGATTCATCTGGAAGGAACTTGCTGGAGAATATCTGGAACATTCCTTAAGAGCAAACTGACATTTGGGAATCCTACCTTTGTTGGAGCTTATGAGCCAAGGCAGGATTTAGCCACCTGCAGTCTACCCTTCCTTCCCTTCCCTTCCCTTCCCTTCCTTCCTTCCTTCTCTCTCCCTTTCTCCCTTCCTTCCTTCCTAGGCAGAGGTGAAGGCAGAAGTTAAGGCAGAGGTAACCAATTCTCTCTCTCTCTCTCTCTCTCTCTCTCTCTCTCTCTCTCTCTCTCTCTCTCACACACACACACACACACACACACACACACACACACACTTTCTCACTCTTTCTTACTTTTTCTCTCCTTTCTTCCTCTCTCCCTTCCTCCCTTCCTTTTATAAATAATGCAAACACACAAAATATTCCTTCCTTTTCCTATTTTCCCCACAGCAACAATCCTGTGAGGTGAGTTAGGTTAGGAGTGAGTGACTGGCCCAGCTAGCATTCAGGCCTAAAGTGGGACTAGAACTCACCGTCTCCTGGTGATTGTCTCAAAGTGACCCAGCTGGTTTTCGTGCCTAAGGCAGGTCTAGAACTCACTGTCTCCTAGCAAGTCACCCATCCTGGCTTTCAAGCCTAAGACAGGACTACAACTCATCACCTCCTGCTTTCTAAGCCAGCACCTTCACTATTACCC